TTTATATTATACACCATCCCGCATAGTATCTTCTTTTATTGTTTTTATTTGTTGATTTTTATTTTAATTTATAATGGTCTAAATACTTATGTGGGACCAGTTTTCTTATGATTGTTTAAATTCTAGAACAGTATTTCGCTATTATGGAAAGATATGTTTCTATTGTAGAACTAATATGATGTTACATTTATGTTTTTATGAAATTAAAATATTATATATAGATTGATAGTAAGGGAATTAAGTAACATTGTGTTTATTTTGATGGCAGTTATTAGTGTGGGGATTGTTAAATTATTACCCTATAAAAGAAATATAAAATATTAAAACAAATAAAATTATGATTTTTACTTAACAAAAAATACAAAAACATAAAACATTAATGTTAAAAAAAATGCCCAACGTGTTAAAAAAAAAAAAAAACCCTAATCCCATGGGACTAATCTCCTAATACCACCTCTACTTCCTCCATCTCAATCCCAACACCAAGGCCCATCCTAATCCCATGGGATTATGAATCCCCTCACCATCTCTCAAAATAAATACAACATATAGTAGGTCCACATCTATCTCAATCCTAATCCCACTTCTATCTCCCAAAAATAAGTGGGGCCTAAGGCTGTATTCGAATTTGGGATTTGGTATAAGGTATTTAGTGAGGTAAATGAAATATGACACAAAATTAGTTGGGGCTACATTAATTATTTTGTAGAAAAATATGATCCGATCTAGTGGATCTTGATGTCCGATTGACCTAGTTTTTGTTAAGCATGAACGTCTCGGAGAGTCCTACAAAATAAACAGTTTGAATAATGAAGATGGGCCTAAAATGAGCCCATAGTGGGCCAAACTAAACCATCCAGTTAGATATCTCAATTAGAGAGGATCCAATCCCAATTTTTAGTCTACATATTTCATTCACAATTTTTCCTATTTTTATTTTATTTTATTTTCCTCACTATATTCTAAATCAAACATAATTTAAAGATGGAAACACTATAGTACACGCTCCTCTAAAAGTGTGTATTATATGTATTTTATAATTAAAGAAAAAAAATAATATAATTTCATATTTTTTGAATCATAACTTTAAAAAAAAAAAATTGTCATAACCAAACATAATATAAGCCATACTTAAGAATTCACAAATCATAATTAAAATTATATCATAATTAAATAAAAACATAGTTATAATTAAAATAATAATAATAATATAACTATGAATGTATATGATGCACCATTTTGAAAAATGTGTACGTTAGAATTTCCCCCTAAATGTAACTGTTTGACTTACCGATTACTCCCGAGACTCTTGTAAAAGAGATGATTAGGTAATTGAATAAAGCTTAAGACTCCCACTGCCAGTAAACCCCGATGTGCCACGTGGCACCGCGTGATTGAAAAGAAAAAAAAAAATTTTGGCCTACTAGGAGTACTGGGGTCCCTAGTTGTTAGGTAATTATTATCCTTCAAAGAAATAGTACTAATGCATGTTACCCTAAATCTAGTCATATATATAATATATATATACTTTATTGACAAAGTGAAAAAATTATTAAAATTATAAAATTAAAGGTGAGATTAAAAGAGTCCAAACTCTCTTATTACTGCAACTTGTATACTTACAATCAATTCATCAATCTCATGATTTTTTCTTTTTTTCTAAATATGAGGGGAAAAAAATCTCGACTACAAACCAAATACTTGCACCCCACATCCAACAACACCCATGCCACACTTAAACATTTTCTAGGCGTGCATAAATTTCAAACTAAGGTTTATTAAGGAATTTATTAAATTCGTAATCCGATCCAATCCAATTTAATCTGGTAAGTTCGGATTGATTTTTTAAATTTGTGGTTCGATTCCGGATTGAAAATTAAAAATTCGTAGTCCACGGATTGGTTCCAAATTAAATCCCACGGTTCCGAATTAGAACCGATCTAGACGGTATAAATAACTTATATTTATATTATACATCATCCCGCATAGTATCTTCTTTTATTGTTTTTATTTGTTGATTTTTATTTTAATTTGTAATGGTCTAAATATGTGGGACTAGTTTTCTTATGATTGTTTAAATTCTAGAATAGTATGTCGTTATTATGGAAAGATATGTTTCTATTGTAGAACTAATATGATGCTATATTTATGTTTTTATGAAATTAAAATATTATATATATATATATTTTATTTAATTATCTGAATCCGTGGTCTTAAGCAATCCAATCCATGTTTAAATAGATTGATTCAGATTGGTTCTATGATTTAAACGGATTAGATTAGTTCCAATTTTTTAAGAATCTTAAATAACGAATTGATCGTAATTTTATCTCAATCCGGACCATGATCACCCTATTTCAAACAACTCCGCACCGCCTGTCTCCCACGGAGTTTAATGGCTGATCATATCCTTTTCTTCCATACTTGGTTGTTACATAATCACGATCCATATGGCAAAGGAGTTTAATTTCGGGTATGGTCCTTTTGTCAAATGCATTATCACCTTTGTCTCATAATTTTGAAACAAGCCCAAGCCGCACCTAATCATTAATAGAAAATATTGAAAGAGAAACATATTGGATTGGATTGGATTGAATTGGATTCATATAGTTGGCAATTGGGTAGAGTAGCCGTGAAATTAGATTGGAATTTCACTGTCATTCAATCTCCAAACTTGTCGTCAATTTTTTTTTTTTTCCAATTGGTGAGGCCATTTCTTAAGGTATGAGCCAAAAAGAATTTTTTTTTTTTTTTTTTACCCTTCTTCTTCTCTTTCTCTCTGTTTTGGGGCGAAGGCATATTGCGACCAGGGGCACGTGCCCCCTCAATTTTTTAAAATTATATTTCTATCTCTATTTGAAAATATTTCCAGTTAGTTCCAAATTCAAATATAAACCCCCCCCCCTTTCCTTTTTTCTACCCTTTTTTTTCCCAACAAAATCTTTGCCAAACTAATGAGATTAATCCATTAGTTAAAATCTTCATATTTCACTATGAGGTTAGAGGTTTAAATATCTATGTTTATTGGTTGTATTCTATATGTACTTATTTACAATTTTATTTCTTAAGTATTTTTTTTTTTTTTTTTTTTTTTTTTTTTTTTTTATTTTTTTTTTTTGGTTGTATTCTATATATATTTATTTAAAATTTTATTTCTTATATTAAGTATTTTTTTTTACATTAGTTGCATGTTGTATTGATTTTCATTATGGTTATAATTCACTAGCTTCATTGTAACGTGATTCATTAATTAAAAAAAATACAAATCCCTACAATTTGTTACTCTAAATGTTTAATTTTGTACAATTTGTTTTTATAAATTTTATATTTTTTCTCTTTTCTTTCATTTCTTTGTTTTCCACTCTGTCTATTTCGTTTTTTTTCTTTTTTCTTTTTTGTGTATCTTGATGTAATTTTATTGCTTTCATTTTTAATATTGTTGACTGCATTTTAAATTATGATGATTATTATATTAAAATAGAAAATCAAATTATTAATAAATAAATAACAAAAAATCAACAAAACAAATAAAAAAATCGGTTAAATTGAGCATAACTTTAAACATATAATTTTGACATCGGGCTCATCTGTAGTTGTTTTACTACTAATTAAAAATTGAAATATATTACATTATAACAAAACTTGCCGTGACTTTAACTCGATGATATCCCTAAAACGAAATTCTAACTTCACCACTGTTTGCGATTCTTTAATTCGTACACTACTATAAATATAGATAAAGATCACACTTTTTTTTAGTATGATGTATGTTTTTTAATCACACCTTTTAAGTTTTATTAAAGTGTGGTCTTTAGGAGTGTGATTAAAAATGGTCATTTTTAATCACACTTTTTAAGTGTCATTAAAAAATGCTTTCATCACATCTTTTATATGTGATTAATAATATTTAGATCACACCTTTTAAGTGTGGTTAAAAACATTTAGATCACACCTTTTAAGTGTGATTAAAAACTTTAGTTCACACATTTTAAGTGTGGTTAAAAACATTTAGATCACACCTTTTAAATGTGATTAAAAACTTTAGTTCACACCTTTTAAGTGTGATTAAAGACTTTAGATCACACCTTTTAAGTGTGATTAAAAACATTTAAATCACACCTTTTAAGTGTGATTAATAACTAATAAAACCTGTGATAAAAAAAATTGACATATTTAAAGAATAATCAATATTATTTTTGCACGCGCATTTGAATAATGTAATACACACTATATACTATATTTCGAATCACAATCATATATTGAATGAAATAATATCATATATTTCATAAATGAAAATTAAATGTTTAAAAGTATATACAAAAAAATTAATAAAAAAAAATTAACTGTGATTACATACATTAAAAAATAAAAAATAAAAAACTTGAAAAAAGTAAGTTCTTGAATTCTTTGACCATATTTTGCATCTCTCCAAGAAATTTCTGACCTGAAAAATAAAAAAACAAATTAATTTAAAAACCGCCAGAAGCATATGAATAAACTTACTAATTAATTTATAAACTTACATTTAGATCACACCAAAAATAATGTAATTTATCCAGCTGTTAAACTGCCCCCAATCCTTTCCCCACAGCCACCAAAAATGACATAATTATTTTGATTCTCCACATAAATATCAGTAAAACAGCACCACAAAAGAAGACAATTATGCAACAATGCAGAAAGGATCACGTAAATGATAAAATGGAGTATTATATGGACAATCAAAATCATATGATATCAACATATAACTCACTAAAAACTATAAAACAAATAAGGATCAATAAAGCTTATTGGTCTTAAAAGCAAAAACTACATAGCCTGAATAATTACAAATTGGTACACCCATCGATGGAAACATCACCGTGAAAGGTTTTCCTCAAGATCAATAGTACACCCATCAAATTTCCAAATATAACTGCATGCTTAAAAAATAATTCTATGTAGACAAGATATTTTAACAGAACTGGTAAAAATGCATACTTCTCTGTTAGTACCAAACTACCTATTCATATGGGTTCAACTCTGACACAAACTGAGATGCACATGAGATCCAGAACCAATATCATCTAATGCATACCTGGGGCAAACAAAAAAATGGAGATAACAGTTAAGAGACATAGCTTGAAGAAGAAAATTCTGCAGGTGAGGAAATGAGTGAAGTTTAACCAATATCAGATCCTTGTCAAGGATCTTCACCTCTCCCCCAAGATGTTCTAGCCAACACAGAACAGGGAACATATATGGTCTGGTTCCCTTAACAAACCTGAGTTAGATTAAAATTTACATCAAACGGATCGAGAAATACCTATAATTAAAATTCACATCAAAAGGATGAAGTAAACCAAAGTCAATTAAAATTCACATCAAACAGATCGAGAAATACCTATAATTAAAATTCACATCAAAAGGATGAAGTAAACAAAAGTCAAACAGAATCAGTTAAATTAATTTTATTAATTCAACATTAAAACTAATTTTTGGCTACAATCTGTATTAAAAACTCAATACTACTTGAAGGATAGAGAAATACCTTGATAGAGAGTGAATTAACCAATCGATGTCTTCAAAGTAGCAAAAATCTACAAAAAATGAAGAAGAAGATGAAGAATCAACCTATAAAAAAACTGCATCCATGACAATGTGCAGGCCAATAGAACAAAAATGTGAACTACTTATTGTGTTATTTATAGATCTACAATATATATATATATATATATG